TTTCGTGGGCTCCTGGGAGGTCCAGCGGATCGACGCCTGAAAACGGTTCGAAGTAGGTCTCGCCTTCCTGGGGGCCGTCGATTGCGATATTCTCTTCACTTTCGTGAGCCCTAGGGTGGTCCAGCGGAACGACACGCCTTGAACTGGATGGGTAGACCTTGTCTTCCTGGGGCCTCCCATGGAGCTTGCGAAACACATCGCAGTCAAATTCGTGTCATCGCCGCACAATGTGGGCCCATGATTCGGATGCAGATGGGCCGGTACCCCGCAGAGTATGCATGTCCCCAGTTGTTTCCCAAGCGCTGCTTGCACCCAGGGCTTCTTGACCCTGCTCTGAGAAGCTCGGCCCGGGCAGCGGTCCGGCCGCTCCGTGGTGCTCGCCTTGGCCGCCCCGTTGCCGCCCGTCGCCTGGGCCTGGGTGTCCGCCTGGCAGGGCTGCGTGCTCGCAGTCGTCCGCCCGGTGGCCGCCCCTCGTCTGGGCCTGGGCCCGGGTGCCCGTCTGGCGGCTCCGTGCTCGCCGCCGCCGCCCCGCCGCCCCGCCGCCGCCCCGACGCCGCCCTCGTCGTCTGGGCCTCTGGGTGGCGGTCTGGCGGCTCCGCGCTCGCCGTCGCCGCCCCGTCGCTGCCTGGGCTCTCCTTCGGATTTTCAGCTGATTCTGCCGCGCCGTCCATCCCAGATGCGAATCCGCACCGTCCCAGGGGGGCCGGTATCCGCCCCCGCTGCCATTCCCTGCGACAGAATACTATGCGCGCGCACTAGTTTCTCGAAAATCATCAGATGCCGAGAATCCCTTGCAAAAGCATGGCGCGAAGTGCGCACGCGCGCGCGTTATCGCGCGCGCATGCCAAATTCCTTCAACAACCTTCGGTTTCGCAGGGATTCGCGCGCGCATGCCGAAATCGTTCGAACGCCCTTGCGCACGTGCCGTCGCGAGAACCCTTTGCAAATTAGCCTGACGAATGACCCAACCATCTGCAGCTGCGAGTACCGCATTGTGGGTACCGCTTTCGGTGGAGCTCCCTGTAGGGCCACGAACAGCGTAAGGGGTGTGCCAAAATGAATAGCAGTCCCCGCATGCGGCCTGTGCCGCTGGGGCCTTCGGTGGAGCTCCTTGTGGGGCCACGAACCGTGTGAAAAGTGTGCTAAAATGGGTGGCGGTCCCCGCATGCGGCCTGTGCCACTGGGGCCTTCGGTGGAGCTCCCTGTGGGGCCACGAACCGTGTGAAGGGCGTGCCAAATGGGTGGCGGTCCACACATGCGGCCTGTGCCGCAAGGCCTTCGGTGGAACTCCCTGTGAGGCCACGAACCGTGTGAGGGGTGTGTCAAAATGCGCGCGGTGCCCACATGCGGCCTGTGCCACTGGGGCCTTCGGTGGAACTCCCTGTGGCACCACAAACCGTGTGAGGGGTGTGCCAACATGGGTGGCGGTCCCCGCATGCGGCCTTTGCCACTGGGGCGTTCGGAGGAGCTCCCTGTGGGGCCACGAAACGTGTGAATGGCGTGCCAAATGGGTGGCGGTCCCCACATGCGGCCTGTGCCGCTGGGGCCTTCGGTGGAGCCCGCTGTGGGGCCACGAACCGTGTGAAGGGTGTGCCAACATGGGTGGCGGTCCCCACATGCGGCCTGTGCCACTGGGGCCTTCGGTGGAACTCCCTGTGGGGCCGCGAACTGTGTGAAGGGTGTGCCAAAATGGGTGGCGGTCCCCGCGTGCGGCCTTTCCCACTGGGGCCTTCGGTGGAGCTCCCTGTGGGGCCACGAACCGTGTGAGGGTTGCGCCAACATGGGTGGCGGTCTCCGCGTGCGGCCTGTGCCACTGGGGCCTCCGGTGGAGCTCCCTGTGGGGCCACGAACCGTATGAAAAATATGCCAAAATGGGTGCGGTCCCCGCATTCGGCCTGTGCCACTGGGGCCTTTGGTGGAACTCCCTGTGGGGCCACGAACCGTGTGAGGGATGTGCCAACATGGGTGGCGGTCCCCGCGTGCGGCCTGTGCCATGGGGGCCTTCGGTGGAGCTCCTTGTGGGGCCACAAACCGTGTGAGGGGTGTGCCAACGTGGGTGCGGTCCCCGCATGCGGCCTTTGCCAGTGGGGCTTTCGGTGGAGCTCCGTGTGAGGCCACGCACCGTGTGAGGGGTGTGCCAAAATGCGAACGGTCCCCGCACGCGGCCTGTGCCACAGGGGCCTTCGGTGGAGCTCCCTGTGGGGCCACGAACCGTGTGAGGGGTGCCAAAATGGGTGGCGGTCTCCGCATGCGGCCTGTGCTTCTGGGGCCTTTGGTGGAGCTCCCTGAAGGGCCACGAACCGTGTGAAGGTTCCGCCAACATGGGTGCGGTCCCCGCATGCGGCCTGTGCCAAACTCCCTGTGGGGCCACGAACCCTGTGAGGGGTGTACCAAAATGGGCGCGGTCCCCGCATGCGGCCTGTGCCACTGGGGCCTTCGGTTGAGCCCCTTGTGGGGCCACGAACCGTGTGAAGGGTGTGCCGAAATGGGTGCGGTCCCCGCACGCGGCCTGTGCCATTGGGGCCTCCGGTGGAATTCCTTGTGGGGCCACGAGCCGTGTGAGGGGTGTGCCAAAATGGGCGGGACGATGCTGATGGTGACGATGAAGAGGAGGAGGAGGAGGAAGGGAGGGAGGAGTGAGGGAGGGGGGGCAGCGGGAGGAGGAAATGACGCGGGACGGTGTTTGTTCAACTCGACGACCCAACACCACAAAGTGGTTGGGAAAAACGATACGAAATGCACGCGCCCGCGTCGTCGCGCGCGCATGCCGGAATTATGTATTGTTTGTTTCTTGTTTATATGTTTTATGTATGTGTGTTTAAACGCTGGTGTCGTACGTATGTTCAAACGCTGTTATCGAATGTCCAAAAAATACGCAAACATATGGTTTCGCAACACGGATGTGCAATACGAAATTGCACGTTTTTGCAAACTCCTGAACCGAGCCATTGGTTGTCGTCAGATTCAAAAAAAATGCTACCAAACGGGTTTCGCGCGCGTGCCGAAATCGTTCGAACGCCATTGCGCGCGTGCCGTCGCGAGAAGCCTTTTTTCTTGTTTTGCGAAGCGAGACAAAGTGTACGCGCCCGCGTCGTCGCGCGAGCATGTTGGAATTTCAAAAAAAAAAAAAAAACGCTGGTGTCGTAAAGATTTCAATATCGAGTGTCCGACAAATATGCACACACATGGTTTCGCAACACGGCTTTCAATAAGAATTTGCGCGTTCCTGTAAATTTCTAAACCGAACAATTGGTTTTCGTCTGTCTCAGACAATGTTACGACACGGGCTTCGCGCGCGCATGCCAAATTCGTTCGAACGCCGTCGCGCGCGTGCCGTCGCGAAAAAATGTTTTTTTCTTGCGAGAACGGAGCGGAAACACGCGCGCGCGTCGCCGCGCGCGCATGCCGGAATCCTTTTAAAAACCTTCGGTCCCGTAGCGATTTCAAAACCGAATGTCGAAACACACACACATATGTATACATGTATCATATACAACACATGGCTTCGCAACGTCAATGTTCAAAACAGCGTGCGCTCGCGCTTTTGTTAAGTATTAAAAAAGCCATGCACGACCAACATGTTCGCGGAATCCTGTCAAACGGAATCATTCACAATCATTCGCAGGCCCTCGCGCGCGTGCTGGGGGGGCAACAAGATCCGTGTCAAAGAATACCGTGTGGGCCAATTTCGCGCGCCGGCCGCGCGCGCATGTCGAATTCTTTCCAAAACCTTCATCACCGACGCGAAGACGCAGCCATCGTTGTTGGCGTGATTGGTATCGGCGCCCGCACTGGCCGCTTCGTCGTCGTCAACATCGCCACCACCATCTGGCTACTATCATCATCGTGCCTACCGTCGTCGACGTTGCCATGATACCGCGCCTGCCCAAATCGCCGACTTGCACTGAAGTGCCCGCTGGGATGCGCCCAGCGGTCAGCGCCACCGCGACCGCGTCGGTCGCGCCAAACTTACGGGCCGCTGCGCGCGCGTGCTTGGGCCGGCGCGGCCGCAGAGATGCACCAGCCAACGCCAAGCACTCATCACAATAGCCTCCGCATGGATGTAGCAAACCATGTTGTGGTTGACTGGGTGGGATGTTTGTAAGAGCATGGGATGTGTCAGTTCGTGTGTAAAACTCAATTGCACCACGTCGGTTGCGCCGAGTAGAATACACAGCGTATAGTTGCACCACATCGATTGCACATCGTCAACTATGCCGCAGATATCGGAACACAGATTTGGCACCACAGGGTTTCCACCACATAGATTGCACACATTATGTTGCACGCATACATCGCACCACGTAGATAGCACCACATAGGCTGCACAACATGTATGGTGCAACCTGCATTACTCAACAAAAGCTGCACCACGTAAATTCTCCTTGCTGACAAGGAATTGGGACCTGGCCCGCCCTCGGACTTTCTGCGAGCCCCCTGACCAGGTGGTGAAATATCAAGACGTGACCTGGAATCAACACAAAGTCACCGCCGGGATTTGGAACACGGGGTCACCGCCGGATTTTCTGCTTCCTGGACCCACCAGCGTTCGGGACACCCGCGAAAAAAGACACGAAACTCCGAACCGAATGGTGCCAAATCGTCCGAGTCTCATCGCCGGGTGTTGTCACCACCACGTCTGGTGCATGTCGAAACCATTCGAATGTATTTGCGCGCGTGCGTGATGGGCGGTGAGACGGGGCGCTACCCCTGCTAAATCATACCATGCGGGCCACTCGCGCCCGACGGCCGCGCGCGCATGTCAAAATCCTTCCGAAACCCGGGCACCATCATCGCCGTCGGCGTGATAAGCATCAGCGCCGTCGCTTGCCTCGCCGTCGTCACATAGACTGCTCCATTGCCAGAAAAACCGTGCTTGGGGTCCACGCTGGCTAACAGATTCCAAGTATGGTGTTTGCGCCCACCTGGCCAAGGTCCGTAAAAGCTCTACACGCCATGCTGGGGCCCAGGGTGGCCACGGGCAGGCACTGCGCTTCTGC